GCCGCAGCTGCTCTCGCCGGCTGAGCAGCAGAGGGCCGACGTGCACCGGGCCGTTGGGATGGGGGTCCGTGCCAGAAGGGGCTGAGGGTGGTCCAGGAGCCCCACCGGGGTGCCGCGGAAGGGGCCGTCCGGATGCTGTCCAGGGGCAGCAGAGCCGTCTTCCCGTCTTCCTTCCTTGATGCTGAATCCATCGCTGGCGACATGTGCCTCCTGCGTCAAGCCGGGAGAGGATGCCTAGCGATTCACTTAGATCGTGGCTGTCGTATTTTGCTTCTACGGTGACTGTTTTGTTTCCAAGAGAAAACAAGTTTCTCATCGGCTGTCTTTCCTGCATCCTGAACAGAGGGTCCAGGAGAGAGCCCGGCTCAGCTTTGGCCCCAGGACCCAGGCCCCGCTGTGCACGAAGCAGTTGAGCAGGTGGGGTGGACCCACGTGGTTGCTCTCGGGGCCCCTGCTGCTGTCGGTTCCCTGAGGGCCTCGGGCCTGACGAACTTGGGCACATGAAGCACATGATGACAGTCTCACTGCTACCCTTTACTCGTAGCCCCTTCTGTGTGTCGGCAGAAGAGACATCCTCTTCCTTCTGAAACTCATGGGACCAAGCTTTTTATAATAAAATATTTTACGTGCAGCACACTAGATACCAGTCGTTTTATCAGCTCTTCCTGTACCATCTGCTTTGGGGAACAGCAGCAATATAATAGCTCATTGGTACCAACGGGTGCAGAAACTCGGTATCGCCAAGCATGGCACACATGCCACGTGTCCTCTGTGCCACTGCCGTTCTTAGGCTGGCTCCCCGAGGTTGGGGGCATTAACATGTCCCAAGTCACTCCTGGGAGCCCCAAGGCTGTTCTGGCTCCCCACTTTCTGTCTCACTTAGTTCTGTCTTCTAGTTTTTCTGCTCAGGCTTGTGCATCGTACACTGAGCAGGAGGCTGGAGCCTGCTGCAGGGTTTCCAGTAGCTTCTCAAGGCTTCCCAGTAACTGGCAGCCAACAATACTGTGGTCCCTGCAGGTGCTTCGCAGTGAGTGCACTTGAGGTCACAGACCTGGCCCTAGGGCCTGAAATCTCACCCCTCTGTGCAGCTTCAGGTAAAGAACAGGTCTGCGCAGACTTTGGCCCGCATGTCCCAAGAGCCCATGTGTAGCTAGAAAGTTCTGCTGGTTTCAGCCGCAGCTCCCCACCTGTCCACAAATCCTCCCCACACCCTTCCTGGGAAATGGTCAGGGACGGAGACAACAGGCTGTCATCTGCCTTCAGCTCTGACAGTGGCTAAGCACGTCCTCCAGAGGGGACAGCCATCGCCGAGCAGAGCAGGGAAGGTACTCAGTGAGGAGAGACACCCAGGGGCCACAGACCGTGGAGGGTGGGTCAGAGGAGGGGCGTGGGACCTCGGGGTCAGGCCTTGGCCTTGGGGGAGCCTGGGGTTCAAAGGACGCCTTCCTGGAGTGAACTGCGGGGCAGACCCTGCCTGGGCGCCTGGTTGGAAGAGAAGATGCTTAGGCTCTGGAGGTTTCCCAACAAGCTCCCGCAGTCAGGAGACGAATCCCCTTCTTCCCTGGAATCAGCGGTGGCGCCCTGTGTCCGACTTTCACTTTCCGTATGCAAATGCAGCATAACAGGGTCAGGCCCTCTGTGGCATGGGACGCCACCCTGTGGCCGTCCGAGTCTCCTGTCGCTGGCTGGGTGTGCTCTCCACTACTCCTGCTTCTTCCTGACAGTTGGACAAATGGGAAGCAAAAAAGAGCTGAACAGAAGTGTCCCGGGAGAGCTGAGAGGCGGTGTTCCACAGGCGCTGTCCACCTGGCTTCTGGGAGACACCTTCTGGGGTGTCTCCCAGCCCAGGCCCTCGCTGGGGAAGGAAGGGATTGGGGCTTGTGGGCTGAATGATGGCTCCAAAGGTAGGAGACCCTGATCTCTGGAACACGAGGCTCTTGCCCGCATGGTAAGGTTTCTGCAGATGTGACGAAACTCAGGATTTGAGACGAGGCTATCCTGGGCTTTCTGAATGGCTTCTAACCGTCAACCACTAGTGTCCTGGTGACTGAGAGACGAGAAGATGATTCACACAGAAGAGAAGGGCACCTCGACCACAGGGAGGAGAGAGGAGGCTGGAGCCCCAGAAGCCAGAGGAGGGAAGGGAAAAATTCAACCCTAGAGCCCCCACGGGATGTGTGGCCTGTGGACATCCGATTTCAGCCCAGGTGATGCTGATTTGGACATCCTGCCCCGCAGCGGTGAAAGAACAAGGGTCAGTGATTGTCCGGAGCCACATTTGTGATGACTGTGGGCAGCATCGCAGTTTAGTAAGATCAATAACAGCACTTAGCAAGCGCCCATCATTTCAAGCATTAGTGCAAAGTGCTTAGATGATAACTGATTTAAAGCCACAATCGTCTGACACACCAGATATACAGATGAAGAGACTGAGCCAGGCCCAGAGATGCCCAGTCCCCACAACGAAGAATTATCCTGTCCCAAAGCTGATAACGCCAAGATGAGGAACTCTGCTCTGGGTGAGGGGAACCCGTTCTCTTGCGCAGTGGGACCTCAGTCCTAGACTCGGGCAGCCCAGCGTCATCTCTATCCAAAGTGGGAGCTGTCCTCCTCAGAGACCAGACTGAGCATGCTACTTAACATTTTCACACATGTCATTCTTACAAAGATTGTTTTCCCATCCCTTTCCCTATGCCAGAGTTAAAAACCTTATTCCCCATGGCACCACATAAACTGATTTTCCTTTTTCCCTTTCTCCTTTTTCTCCAACTACTCTCAACCTACCTTTAATGGAATTTTAATAAACTGTAATAACCTGGAATTTATTAATGGTACTATTGGGGTGTGGGCAAGATAATGGTTGATGCTTCTTAAAACTCAGATTCTGAGACATTTTAGATTATTTCAAAGCATACTTGGAACCAATGTCAGGTAATTTTGGAAGCAAAAGTTACAGCATGTTTTCCCCCGGGTTATAAATCTCCAAAACGTCAGTGTCAAGTAATACAGCGTGCTCCTCCAAGATACGCTGGGCTCAGCACTACGGGAAATTTAAAAATTATGCTGGAATTTTTAAAGACCAAGTGATGTTCTTTGCATTTTCCCTTGAAGCGTCACATTTCTGAATTTATCCTTGATGGTCATGCCTAGTCAAGGAAGATCATTAGCATCTACTTTAAGAAAATACAGAGATGCGAAAAACAAGATAATAATGTGCTATAGAACTTTACTCTTTAGAGAAAATCTGACAGGCCATATGTGCACATAAGAGAAATCGAGTGAACCCTTGGCAGGAGCTAGTGAATAAAGGCACCCGCTTCACCTAATTTGCTGCCTCTTTCAAAGTTAAAGAAGTGAGAGCAAAAAAATGCGCGGAGGGAATGCATTTTTCTTTTTATTTTTGACAAATTTATTGTCTGTTTTAAAATTGGTTTCAGGCCCAAGGGTGTAACTCAGTGCTAAAGCATTTGCCTAGCAAGGATGAAGGTACTGAGTTCATCCCCCAGCACTGAAAAAAAAAAAAAAAAAAAAAAAAAAAA